GGGGCCCGTTTCGAAAAGTCAAGACATGGGATGTCTGGACGAAGGTCCAGCGCACCGCCACCAGACACATGGGCCATCCGAGACCTCGTACGCCCGTCTCTGCGCATGCACCCTCGCCCGCAGTGAAGAGCAAAATGCAACAGTGGGCTCCGTTGGCCTGGCGCGGACGCCGACACGGACCTCCGCCCGAGTTCCGCTGAAGTCCGTGCGCAGCCAGAGGACGAGGATGGGGCAGGAACCAGGGACGATGAGCCCAGGCACGCGACGTCCTGACTTGTTCCATGCGCGGCCCCTGGAAGTCTCAACCTCCCCCCCCGGACCGTTTCTTCATCCCGAGTGTTTGATGATGATGATGGTGATGATGATGATGAGGAGGAGGAGGAGGAGGAAGGAGGAAGGAAGAGGGATTTTTTCGCCGCTGCACTGCTCAAAATACCACGTGCGGCGCGCCCTCGAGCAGCATGAAGACCACGAGGAAGAAGCCGAAAGACACGTACAGCACGAAGGACGCTCCATATCGGAAGCCACCATCCGACAAGCAGACCTCGAGCAAGGTCCCTTCGATCATGATCACTGTTGGTGGCACTTGTTGGTGGCACTCTGAGTTTGGATCTGGTGGCTTGATCGTTGAGGAACACAGCTGCTCCTGCGAGCAACTGAACGGTGCACCACGAGGAGGCGAAGGCGCCCGCTGCTCAATGCAAGGGAGCCCCCTGCGCTTCGAGGGGCCCGTCGACTCCTCGCCCAGACCACAGAATACCGAGCACGGCGAGGCGGCGAACTTGAAGCCCTGCGACTCTGGCACGGGGAACTGCTCGTCGGATAGGTGCGTCACCTCGTCCACGACATCTGCTATGACGGACTCCGCATCGCCCACGCCCACGAGGGAGCCCGCCAAAGGCTCCCAAGTACCAGGCGCAACCCCGAGCACGCACACGGAGGCGGATCCCGTGCTGCCAGCCTTCTCCAGCGTCGAGGACAAGGCTTTCTCCACATAGTCCGAGCAGGCATCGTGCACCAACGGTAGGGACTCGCAGACCTCCCAGAGCCCAGGCCAGACCGACGGGACCGTGGCCGAGCCTGCGTCGAACTGGTACTCGAGCTCCTCGCCGCCGCCGCCCATGTCGCCCACGCCGTGAGGCACGAACACCGCAGCGTCCGCGGAGAAGCTGGCAGCGCCACGACCCACGTCGTCCCGTCGCACTTCGAGGCGGGGCCCGCCCTGGGCCTGGCGAAGCAAGGCAGCGTCCGCCGCCGCCACGTCGATGCCCGAAGCGTCAGCGTGGAGGGCGACGTTGCGCCGCAGCCTCTCCAGCCATGTAGGCGGCTCGCCTCGAAGCATCGCCAGCAATGCGGGAAGGAGCGCCCGTAGACGCTGCGCAGTCTCCGCGTCGCCGACGAGAGTAACCAGGGCCGCCTCCGCCGCACGCAGCAGCCCGTTGAGGCGGTCCACCTCTCCCGACAACTTGAAGATCGCCCTGTCCGCCGAGGCACGAGCCCAGGCACGGCGTGCCTTGCGCAGGAGGAAAAGGAGGAGGAAAGGGAGGAGGGAAAGGAGGAGGAGAAGGAGGCCGAAAACGCCAGAAACCGTTTCCGCCGAGAAGCCCGGGCCACTGGGCGCGGACCCATGCAGACCGGATGCACGCCACCCTGCCCGCCCCCGCAGCAGGCCGCTGCGCAGCCGCGGGTCGGCGTTCCGCCCCGGACGCCGAGGAGCTTGTGTCGCGGCGCTCTTGCAGAACCGGGAGCCGGTGGACAAGCCTCCCTTTAAAGTGAGGCTTGTGAAAACGGCCTGTGAAAACAAGCCTCCCTTGAAATTTAGCAAGCCTCCCTTCAAAGGGAGGCTTGCTAAATTTAGCAGACCTCCCCTCAGTGAAAACGGCCTGGGACCGAAACCGACGGACCTGGACCCGCAAAAATGACGGCCGCGACGCCCTCTCGCGAGCCGAAACCGGCCAATTCCTCAATCGACGTGTCAGGGTAGGAGGTCTGTCCAACCCCGAGAACCGGGAGCAGGTGGCCCTACACCGGACCACCCCATTCCAGTCGGGAGTCCCAGATTTTGGGGTTCGGGGGCGTACGGGTTCCACATGTGTTGGCTCGATGTTCCAGGATACCCCCCCACGGGAAATGGAGGGCACCATGATGCCTTGGGGTTGCGTTGGGGTGATTTGGTGGGTAGTGAGTGGGAACCGTGGTCACTAGACGCGCGGCTTCAAAGAAACGAGGTATCAGAGGACCAGGGGATCAAGAAGCGTGGTCTCAAGAAGCGTGGGCCAAGGAGAGAAAAGGGGTCTTGACATCAACAGAAAAAGGGTCTCAATATTAATGACGCGACCGCGGAAATGGCTCGGGGCTCCATAATCTGCTTGGCCCGATACCAAGATGTGGCAAATAGAGTCTGGACGTCTGGACCGAGCCTGACCCGCTGCAGTGCCGGCGTGAGAACGTGCAGGAAAACACGCAGTGGCATCAGAAAGTGGGGCGAGAAGCGGATACCCGACGTCATCAGCGACATGCAGGGACCGGGCCAGAGTGTACGAGAGGAGTCGGCAGTGGCACGGTGGTGCGAGAGCTGGGCAGCAAGCGTCCTGAGCCGCTTGCTGAGACCAAGGCGTACGAGAAGAATTGGAGATTGTACCGCGAACGGTGGTGCGAGCGCTGGATCTCAGATATCAAGATCTGCATGCTGCGACCAGCGCGGGCGTGGGGGAGTCGGCGGTGGCAGCGGGCGGGAGCGCGACAGCTGGACACGAAACGCCATCAGCAACCGGCTTGAACAGCCTTGCAAGTAGGAGGAAGGCAAGCCGCGGCGGCAAACGTTGGCGCGGAAGCTGGATGCCAAATGTCCCAAACCGTCCGCTGTAGCCAGCGTGTGGAAGGCAGGCACACCGTGAAAAACAGACGGTGGTGCGAGAGGTCTGGATGCCAGACGTCATCATCAACTGCACGTGGGGACCAGACGTCATCGTCTATTTGCAGTAGTCGGCGTGTTGGCGGGGAGCCACCAGTAGCAGCAGACGGTGGCGCGTGAGCGCTGGTGCCAGATGTTAGCAGGTGTACGTGTGGCGACCAGGGTGTGCAAGGAGAAGTGCCTGCTGTGGTGGCGGGTATTGGTGCGAGAGCTGCACACGAGTCATCATCAGCGACAAACTGGAGGCAGCATGTGCAAGACGTGTCGGCAGTGGCAGTAGACACTGCTGCAAAACCTGGAGGCCAGGCGTAATCAACTACGCACATGATGAAACCAACGCTTGGTAGAAGCGCCGGCAATGAGCAGACAGTGGTGCGGGAGCTGGGTACCAGACATTATCACAACACGGCGGGACCTGCGTGTGCGAGAAGATTGAGCAGTGACAGAAGACTGGTGGGACAAAACGCGTTGGACAATGTGCGCGAGAAAAAAAAGCGGGGACAACAAATTTTGTGCGAGAGATAGACGCGACACGTCAGTAACGACACTCTGGCTCCAACACGCGCAGGAAGCGCTGGCAGTGGCAGCACACGAGGTGATCCGCACAGGGCGTGCTTGTGGGTGCAGCTGCGCACGCGGCTCTGCATCATCCCGATCCTGGCTCGTGCCAGCAGAAGCGGTGCCACCCCGCTCGGCGGGGGCAGCGTCCCCAAGCCCCGAGCGTCTCTCGTGGAGTGGCGGCGGGGCGCCCAGTCCTTTCTCACTGCCAAATGCCTGGCGGCAGGGCCCACCCGCGGCCGCTGCCGGGAGGCGGGCACCCCGCCTCACGAGGGGGCTCCTCCTCCTCCCCCTCTTCCCCCTCCTCCTCCTCCTCCTCCTCCTCCCCCTCTTCCCCCTCCTCCTCCTCCTCCTCCTCCTCCTCCTCCTCCTCCTCCTCCTCCTCCTCCTCCTCCTCCTCCGTCTCCTCCTCCTCCTCCTCCTCCTCCTCCTCCTCCTCCCCCCCCCCCTCCCCCTCCTCCTCCTCTCCTCCTCCTCCTCCTCCTCCGCCTCCTCCTCCTCCTCCTCCTCCTCCTCCTCCTCCTCCTCCTCCTCCTCTCCTCCTCCTCCCTCCTCCTCCTCCTCCCTCCTCCCCTCCCTCCTCCCTCCTCCCTCCTCCCTCCTCCCTCCTCCCTCCTCCCTCCTCCCTCCTCCCACCTCCCTCCTCCTCCTCCCTCCTCCCTCCTCCTCCTCCTCCCTCCTCCTCCCTCCCTCCTCCTCCTCCTCCCCCCTCCTCCCTCCTCCCTCCTCCCTCCTCCCTCCTCCCTCCCCCTCCCTCCTCCTCCCTCCTCCCTCCTCCTCCTCCCTCCTCCTCCTCCCTCCTCCCTCCTCCCTCCTCCTCCTCCCTCCTCCCTCCTCCCTCCTCCCTCCTCCCTCCTCCCTCCTCCCTCCTCCCTCCTCCCTCCTCCCTCCTCCTCCTCCCTCCTCCCTCCTCCCTCCTCCCTCCTCCCTCCCTCCTCCTCCTCCCTCCTCCTCCTCCCTCCTCCCTCCTCCCTCCTCCCTCCTCCCTCCTCCTCCTCCCTCCTCCTCCTCCTCCTCCTCTCCTCTCCTCCTCCTCCTCCTCCTCCTCCTCCTCCTCCTCTCCTCCTCCTCCTCCCTCCTCCCTCCTCCTCCCCCTCCTCCCTCCTCCCTCCTTCCTCCTCCCTCCTCCCTCCTCCTCCTCCTCCTCCTCCTCCTCCTCCGCCTCCTCCTCCGCCTCCCCCCGATCCCCCCTGGGCGGTGGTGCTTGATAAAGCTCCGCCTCGGAATGAGGTTACCAGGCTGCTTTACCTTTGGTAAGATCGTGTCGTGACGGCCCTGGCGTTGCTTTCTGATACCGCGTGAATCGTTCAACCTCGAAAGATCGGCGGTCTTCCGATCGCCAGATCGTTGCACATTCGCAGATTCTGGGCCCTTGGCAACTTTCCACCTTGGACGCCCTCGGCGGGGTCGCCGCCGCGTCGACACGACGGAACCTACCGCAAGCGAATGTTTAGACATAGACGCAGCGATCGTTCGATCCACGCCTGGGCAACGCAAAAAGGGTGGAGGAGGTGGGGAACGAGGGATCCGCAGCCGAGCGGGCGACACGGACGGGCCATTGTAGATGATGGGCTCCTGCAGGCCCTGGCAGACAGGTTGAGCGGGAGCGCCGAGGACGGAGAGAGGGTAGTGAGCGGGGTGTCCGCGATCCTCACTCCTCAGTCCTCATCCACCTCCTCGATGTGTCTATCCCCGATCCTCCGTTTCTCGATGGTTGGGACTTCGAGAGTGTGGGTTTGACCTAGCCCTTGGCGCTTTTTATCGGGGCTGGTCAGGCCTCCGGTACCCCATGGAGACCTCTGGGGGCCTTCGGAGAAGAGCGACAATATCGACATTCATGATCGGCTTCGGAGTCAGGAAAGGGCCATGTAGAGTGTACAGTCGGACCTAGAACAGAAGAACATCCTTCAAGACCATGAGAACCTCCGCCAGCCGAAACACGCATAATATCAAAGGGTACCCTCCGTAGGATGCAGAGGGACATCCAACAAGCACGAGAAACAATAGGGTAACCCTGCGCAGGTGATAACCACGTCATGGGGATGATAAAATTCGGGGCCCTGGGGGGGATAATGAAAGACGTTCCCGGCAAGTCGCATGTAGGCATGTCCGGTGTACGGATGTAGGAGCACGAAGCCTGAGAAATCCTCCTCGCTCTTGGTTCTGGCGGGGCCTCCCCTGGATTGGGTGGGACGAGCTCTGGCGGGGCCTCCCTGGCGGCGGTGGGAGGGGCGCCCAGCTTGTGGGGATGTCTCAGGCGGTTCGGCTGTTTCGGCCCCCATCCAACCTCTTTCGTTCACGGAGTCCGATGCTCACCGCGATATAACAGGCACAGCCCTAGAACACCACATGGGGCTACGCACCGTGTGAGGGGTGTGCCAAAAAAGGGGTCTACGGAAGGGTGAGGATGATCACAAAGGATGCCGATGATAAGAACAAGAGGAAATAATGATAAGATCACTCGCTGTACGATTCGTGCCTTCCCTGGTGGTAACAACAATTCGGCCTCCTCGCTCCGCCCGCCGATCAAATGGAAGTACCCCATGCGGAATCATGACTCAGGAGCTCAGGGGGGGGGGCTTCATTATCGCGGGCATGCGGCTGCCCTCCCCGAGCCGACCTCGGTGGATACCCCGGTCCGGCCGGCGCCTGCCTGCCTGAGACGCTGCGGCTGCCTGGCTTTGGCGGCGCGCAGCAGGGGGGGCACAGTCGGGGCGCTGACCTCAGGAACCCCAACTGAGGAACGAGGCCCCCATGTTCCATAATTTTTTTTGGTTCGCGGCTCCAAGGCGAGGGACATGGAGCGGGTCAACGTCCGGGACGCGGAACGAAGATAATCACATGCTCCAGAAGCGAAACGTCGACTTCCCATCGAAGACGTGAGGACAGCCCAGGCCACGCTGCGAAACAAGTCGGGAGCACGGGGCCCCCCCCCCAACGAAAAGGGCGCCTTCTTCGGCGCCCCAGCTGTCTGGCCAGGGAAGGCTTCTGCGGAGGAGGCCGCTCCTCAGAGAGGGGAGGGCCTCGCAGCCGCAGACGAGGCCCGCGCCCTTCGGAGCAGCGGGGGTACTTCTAAGAAGCCCCTCCCCGCTTGCCGTCGCTGGGACGTCCATGTCCCGTGCATTTTTGTCGGTTTCGTGCGCCATCGATCGTCCTCGATGGTCCTCGCCGAGAAAAAAAATGCACACGTCCGGGCGATGCCAGGCCCCCATACCCCCCTCCTGCGCGTGGCCGATGGATCACGATCACGGGGAGGAGCCAAAAGGCCTGGGCTCTCGCAAGAGGGCCTCCGAGGCTCCCGTGGGCATCTTGCGGGGGCCCCCTTCCGGTGGCACCTCGTGGGAGCCTCCCGTACCATCTTGTCGGCTCTTGCGCGTCGACGCTAATCGACGCTAAATCGACGCTCGCCGACGCTGGCCGACGCTAAATCGGCGCTATCTCATCGTCTCTGGACGCGAATCGGCGCTCATCGGGGCGAAAGACTGGATGAAGAGGGCATACCAGGCTCCCAGGATCTGCCAACGAACCCTCTCGAGCTGCCTGGAGCCCCATCGGGGCCGTCAGTGGGGGCCCCGAGAGGGCCGTCCTGGAGCCCTCTCGGCGCAGCCCTGGGCCGTCCCGCGGCCCCCCCGCGGGCCGCATGGGGCTCTGCTATAGGGCAGCCCTCGGGCCCGCTGGGCGGTCTTTGGGCGTCATTTTTTAAGGGACGCGCAGAGACACACTAATACTAGATGTTCTCCTTGGAGGCGCGCGTCCGCCCCAGACATATAGTACACCCATCTTGTAGCACATCGTTTCCCGAGCGGTGTGGCCAGGAAGCGTCCGCCACGGCGCATAAACCACAAGATTCTCGGAGCGCGCATCGCCCCCCGCGGGGCGACGCAAATATAGTAGAAGTATGCTGGGGTGGCGCCGATGTTTGGCCACCTTGGGGCTGTCTTGACGGCCTCTTGGACAGTCGTGGGCGCTCCAGAACCGAAGCTACGAAAACGTCAAAATCGTCGAAACCGCTCGCCCGACGCGCCATGCATGCAGACAGCTCCCCGGGAACAGGTGAATGAGAGGTCCGATTCCCAGGCGGTCGGTGTCGCGGATGCGGAAACTCCCGGCAGCCGTCTTCAGGGCCATCAAGATCGCCCCAGGATGCCCCGGGACCGCCGCAGTGGACCCCAACAGAGCTCCCAAATGGCCCAGGAGTAAGGATGGACAGTTGACGGGCCTCGGTGTGCGCCAAAAACAACCTCAAGAAACTTCATGATCGCCCCGAGATGGTCCCACACATGCCCAATAGGGCCCCGAGAGGCTAAATGATTATGATGTCGCGTCCGTTGTGGAAGGATTTGGGCGTCACCGCTTTTTCGGGCTGCCGACCGCCAAAGACAGCCCAAAGGTCCCCAAGACCGTCCCAAGTCAAACCAAAAGGCTCCCAGGACGGCCCCCAGACCGTCCCAGTTTCCAAAACGGCCCAAGAGGCGTCCCACGAGGCCTCAAGAAGTCCTCAGGAATCCGAACTGACATGTCGAATCCCTCCCCGAAAGATTGCACCCGAAACCGCCAACAGGGCCCGAAGAGGCCCCGACACGCCCCTACAAACGCAAAATACCAGCCCAAGAGGCCCCCGAGTTCCCAAACACACCGCCAAAAGGCCGCCGAGAGGGCTCCAACAAAGCACACATCTATATATATATATATATATATGTATGAATATCTATATATATGTATATATATACATATATACATATATATATATATATATTTAGAATCGTCTCCGAAAGAAACACCTTGTCACGACCCAGTTTGGCCCCAAGAGTGCACAACCAACCATAGAGAGGCCTCATCCTAAGCCCCCTCTCCTCCTCCTCTTCCTCTTCGTCCTCCTTATGTTGTCTCCTTCTCGTTCGCCACGAGCACACCGACGTGCAGTGCCAACGATGCAGCGTGGACCGGCGGAACGACGAAACACATTAGATCGGCGGGCCCTCAGCGGACCCTCGCCGCGTAAACCGTCGAGGGTAGATGACGAAACGAAGTTGATGAATGTTCTGACGATGATGATGGGGATGACGATGATGATGCTGACGACGATGGGGATGAGGATGGTGACGATGGTGGTGACGGCGGTGGTGGTGATGATGATGGCGACGACGGGATCTGTGATTATGAAGATGATTCACCTCACTATCCCCCCTGATGGGTGTCTGGCCAGCGCGCGGTCAGGACAGCGAGATCGCTCATAACCTGGAACTCGGGCCTGTGGGCTCTGAACCCTCGCGGCCAACGCAAACATGCGCCTTGAATCGCCGCGCGAGCAAGAGCACAACCGCTGATTTGGCACTCGATGGCACTGGCCCCCTGAGCGCACCCCCCACCGAGGGCCAAGAAGTTTCAGGAGGGGAAAGATGCTCGAAGGCCTCGACGACTGACTTCCAGGCGCCGCTCACGCCAGTGCCACTATTACGAATGAGCCCGCACAATTCGAGAACCCCCCCGACTCCGAGACACTTCGACATCCGGAAAAATCCTAAGTCTCCGACGAGCGAGAAGTCGGGGGAGCACGGGGGAGCGCGAGAGCGCGGAGAGGGGCGCAGCCGCTCGGCGCCGGTCCGCGGAGCTACTCCGGCTCCTACGCAGCCGCCGCTGGCCAGATAGACTGCTAGGGCAAGGCCCCCCTCAGAATTCGCGCGGCAGCGATGAGAAAAAGGCCTCGCTTCTGATTATATCTTCGCTCTTGGGGCCGGGCCTGGCACCCCTCTAAGTTCACGCGGCTACAGGTGGCCTTGCGTACGTTCGGGCCTTTTGGGCGGACGGCAGGCTTCCTTGATGCCCCCTTGGGCCCTCACGATGTACGACTGGATCTCGACCGCCACGGTGCGCAGCTCCGGGGTCGTGAACACCTCGATGCGACACATAGCGCCGCGCCAGTTCGCTTGGCTGAGCGTCTTCCTCTGGTAGCACATGGTGGCGCTGTCTTCGGGATCTGCCACGCCCTGGACGGCCTGGGCTGGCGCCATCACGTTGACCTTCGCCTCCGTTGGGATCGCCCCGTTTCGCAGATCGAGAGGCACAGCCAGATCCACGCATGACTTCGCGCCATCTCCTTCTGCGCCAGAGCCTCCTGGTTGCCGTTCTGCTTGTGCTGGTGTTTCTCTTCCTCGAGCCGACCCCCCGACTCCATCATCGCCTCGAGCTGAGTGTGTCCTGGCCGAGCCGACGCCACACGAGTGAGGCAGTCCGCGAAGCGACGGGACATAATAAGATCGAGCCCGGCCACGGCCTTCGCCGTGGTCACCAAGCTGCGGTACTCCTCGTTGGAGTTGCCTCCTACTGCTCTATTTGCAAGAGCCCTGCCGTCTCCCGCACCCGGTGCGCCAGCTGCCGAGTGGACGACCTGCCGCTGCATCGCCTCCATTTGGAGGACAGTCGGGAAGGGCAGAAACTGCAGGGTCGTCACTCTGGAAGTGACACACAGACCTAACGACTGTCGCGAACCACAGAATTATCACGGACGTGTTTGTGAATGGCGGGAACCCTAGTGGCCTCGTACTCCCCGAAAGGGCACGCAAACGAAGCTGGTTGCTTGGGACACACAAGATCTTATCACACGTACTTCGACATGGTGACGAAGCGGGCCGAGCGAGCTGAACGTTTTGAAACACCAATAACATTCATCTGGACATACTGCGAGCCTACGAAGTATGATCGGTGATGGGCTCGTCGTTCATAGAATTGCAGGGCGCGCAGGGACTGAAGTACTTGCGCACATGTTGCACCATCGGGATACGTACAGCCACATGGGAAGCTGTAGAAATCGCAATCCCGACGAGCACGGGGATTGTGCACTCGCTCGTGATCGCGCGGGCGTGCGTAGGTGAGTCGTGCATAATATGATGCTGATGATGACGATGACGACGATGCTGATGATGATGTAGATGCTGATGATGGTGATGATAATGACGACGACGACGACGACATGGATGAGAGCGGGAAGCCTTCGTTAATGTGTGCTAAAGGGGGCTTCGCGGATTCCGCTGGCCGATTATATTTCGAAAGTGGTTCGAAGATGCTTCGACGAGGCCAATGTTTACCGATTCTCCTGAAGACACATGAAAATACGAGCGACAAGCGCGCGCATTCCGCCGGCCGGTGTCTTCAATTCCCCAGGGAAACTGACAGCGTTGTGCAAAAAAAACGTGCTCCCAGCGCCAGGCCCACACGGGCGACAGCTCCTGGGACACGTAGAACAAATGACAAGTGGGATGTGCCCTCGGGGCTGCGAAAGCTCCGTTTCTGCGCACGTACACGCACTTCCTGCTCCACGCTTTACTGGGACACGTGAGAAATAAGAGCAATCTTCGCTTCGAGCGCCACAAAGGGATACATTCGAGTCGCTCCTCACCGATGTCCTGCCCCGTCTTACTGGGGCACGTGCAAATTACGGGCGATCTGCTCTCTCAGGCGGGCGCACCCCTCACGCTCTCAGCTGACCCCGCGGACGGCTCAGAAGAGCCCAGAAGCCGGGGCACGCCTCACGCACTCCGTCCCCCCAAGGAATGGACACCCTGAAGAACGTCCGACCCCCCACGGTAAGCCAAGATGGCCCAAAGAAACAGTGCAACGATTGGTACCGGCCCTCGTCGAGGCAACATCCCTAACATTAGGTCGGGCGTGTCCTCTTACAGGCGGATAGAAAGATCGTCCCCTGACTATTGTTTCGACTATTCTTGAATACTCCTCCTGTGGGAGGGGGGCATGCCCGACTTACCTCTACCACCCACGATTTGCAAAAGCTGCGTGCAGATGGTTCTCCTGGGGAGGAGGGGGAGGGGGAGGAGGAGGAGGAGGAGGAGGAGGAGGAGGAGGAAGAGGAGGGAGGGAGGGCCTCGGGGGCCCGCTATGGCTCCCGCATCTGCGGGCTCCGTGTCCGGCGGGCCCCCTGCGGGCCCTCGCCACGTGATCCTGCGAGGCAAGGCGATGAGATGACGAGATCCAGAATGCGCACGTAAGGGATGCTGCTGGGATGATGATGCCACGCCCAGGCAATGCTGGTGAGATGATAATGATGTCCAGAATGCACACGTCCAGATGATGATCATGATGATGATGATGATGGTGATGATGGTGATGATGATGATGATGATGATGATGATGATGATGATGCTGATGCTGATGCTGATGCTGATGCTGATGATGATGATGATGCTGCTGATGATGATGATGATGATGATGATGAGGTTCATGTTGATGTTGATAATGATGATGATGCTGCTGATGATGATGATGCTGATGCTGGTGCTGATGCTAATGATGATGCCACGTGATGATGAGACGCATGTACGAGAGTCCAGAATCGAATCGACAAGCCGGATCGGCGATCGAGATGAATTGGTTCGACGGATATCGGCAACCGAGTCGGGAAAAATCGAATCGGCAGACATCGGCAGGCTGGTTGGCCTCCAATCAGAAATCCTCCAAACAGAAATCGGGTCCCAGATCGGAATCCAAAGTCTAATCGAATCGGAATCGGAGGCCATTGAAATCGAATCGAATCGGAGGAGTCGAAATGAGCCCTGGCATGGGTAAGGCATACTAGGAGGAACTTCGCGGATTCCGCCCGCCGATGATGCTACGATGTGTCTCGACGAAGTCATGATTGCAACATCTGCGTGCAACCTCCCCCCTGGGGACCCGCCTTGACACCCATTCGGCAGGCTCCATAAGTGTTGGGAATTCAATTGTGTTGGCCTGTCAGGAGCTCCCTCGAGACTACTCCTGGGCCGATGTCGGAACCTTTCGGGAAATTTCGGGGCATACTCGCAGGAATGGCCAGCATGGTCTTAATTGATCGGGATCGTGCCCTCGCTGCAGACGAGCAAAAGCGACTGAATGATTCCGACAAGCGCGCGAGAGGCCTGTTTGGTCGCACTTGATGACGCTGTTCGAAGAACTTGAGACTTTCGTCGTACGAATTCACAAGAGCGCTTGTGCTGGTTTTTGAACACAGATGTTGCTGAATCAGAAGTTGGTTTATATCAATTCGGGGAACATAACCTTAAATCGCGTACGAACGCACAGGTTGTTGAGCAATGTTAGCCTGCGCGCGCGACTACGCACGCGTCAGCTCGCATAGTATTATTTGACAAGGGATGGTACGAGTTCATACATTCATAATAAGCGATGGGGCAGAAAAGGGTGTACATTGTAGTATCCCAGAGGGGTAGCGCTAATTCGGGGAGGGTAGATCCGAACTTCAACTTCAAGGTGGAACTCTCGGTGGTTGAATCTTTACCTAGTGCATTCTATGTGGTGCGAAATCTATGGCATGAGGCAATACCTGTTGTGCAAGCTGCGTGGTGCAATCTACGTGGTGCAATCGAAAGTATGCAAAACATTGCCAGCCAAGTGGTGAAATCTACGCAGCGCGGCGACGAAGCCGCGGACACGGGCGGCGACGGGCGGCGATGAGAGGCGACGGGGCGGCGCCGGCGCGGTGACGAGCCGGCCGGAGCGGCAGGGCTGGCCCAGCTGTGGCGGAGACGGGCGGCGACGAGGCGGCGACGGGCGGCGACGGACGAGCGGCGGACGGGGCGGCGACGGGCTGGCCAGGGCGGCAGACCAGACGAGTGGGTCGTGGCGGCGACGGGCGGCGACGACGCGGCGACGGGCGGCGAGGAGCGGAGACGGGGCGGCTACGTGCCATAGTGAATTGCAATCACTGTTTGCGAAATGATTGATGTCGGCCTCTCGGAGGCCTCCTGGGCCCTGTCTTGTTGGGCTGTCTTTGGCCGCATGGGGCCTCTTGCGGCCCTGAGGGGGCCCTCTTGGCGCTCTCTTGGGCGGTCGCGCGGTCGGCCATGTTGGGTACAGGCACCGGCCAAGAGGCCAGTGGGCCAATTTCCCCCTTAGATGTGTATGATGTGTCTCGGTACGAATCTCAAGCCTCGATCGCCATCTCAACAAACTGTCACATGAACCTCCCTCCTCTGGTCAATGACACATTGGTTTTGCCCCATCAGCTTCCAAACAAGCAACTAATAGCGGCCACTACGTTTCCTGACAATCATGATTTCAACACGTTGTATCACGGCTGCCATGCTCTATCTCCACACATATGGCTTGTGCAATCATCCGCCACCGTGCCTTCAGCACGTAGTGAAGAACCCCAAGGCTCATGCGTTCCTGATGGGTCGAGAGTTTGTAGGTTCTGAAGGGCCCGGTCAACAAGATTCACAAACTTTCCATACGTTGCCGAGCGTTTCCAGGTTGCTCGATGCCCTCCAGACGGCCCAAGAGGTCCCCTAGATGCCCCAAGGGGCCTTCAAGGAAACACCCAAGAGGGCCCCCAAAGGCCAACATAATTGACTTCCCGTATGCGTTTGAAGGATTTGGGGGTTCTCGCCGTTTCTGGTTTCCGACGCTCCAAGACGGCCAAGGAGGCCCCAAGATCGTTCCACGAACGCCAAAGAAGCCCCAAACAAGACACCAAGACGACCCAAGAGGCCCCCAAGACGGCACTGAAAACGACCCAAGATGGCTCCAAGAGGGCCCCGATAGAGGGAACTCGAAGTCGCATTTCGCGCCCTCCGCCCCAAGATGATCCCCCAAACCGCGAGCAGGGCCCTAAAAGGACATTCCAGAAGGCCCAGGAGGCCCTCAACAGGTCCCAAGACACAACCAAAACCGGCCCCAAGAGGCTTCTGAAGGACCTCCGAATATATTCCCACAGGCATCCAAGAGCCCTCTCACCTTCAACCTAGCCGCAGTGCTGGGATGGGCCGAAGGCCACTAGACATAGTAACGGAGGGCTGTAGCGATGACTACGACACTGCAACACAATACTGGCGTGCGCGCTCGTGTCAGTGCATACCCGGGGAAGACAAGACGGCGCGCTCGACGGCGCCCCCCGGAAGCAGCGAAAGGCTGGCCAGCTTCTTGCCGGTGGTCGCCATGTAATTGGCCCACGTGGTGTCCGCATTCCTGCACGCAGGGCGGACAGATGGTGTGGCCGGGCCCGCACAACGGGCGGAGGGGGGAGGGCTCGGCCAGGAGAGAGATACTCTCAGAGGTTCAGAACCCGAAGGGCGTGTGCAGCCAAATGCCCCCCCCCCCTCGCCCCCAAGGGAATCCGCAACCCCGCCGACGATTGAACCCGCCAAGGCATCTCAGAGAGGTTGCAGGTCTGCGGGGCGGGCGCGCGTGGAAACCGAATCAACCGTGCAACATGCCTTGCAGGAAGGCGTTCAAGAGAGTGCCCGTGGTAGGGCGCGCGGGACACTGAACCAAAAACGTGCCACGAACCCAGCAATGAACCAACTATGAACGGTGCTGCGGTGGCAGTGCGGCGACGAAACCTCGGACGAGACGTTGCATTCAGAGGCCGCGGTCTCCTCCTCAGTCGCTGCTCGTTCTTCTTGCGCCCGACGCGCATGTAGTAGTTGGCCGTGAAGATTCTACTGCGAGGGGCGGCCGCGGGGGCGGCCGACCGAAACCGGGGGCCGCGAAGGCGGGGCAAGGCCAGATGGGGGGAGTCATGGAAAATTAGCCCTGGACGGCCCTGGGAATATGGAAGTGCTGGCCTCCAACTGGGTTCGATCCCTAGCCCCAACCTCGGGCTGCCCCCCCCCGCCTCCTACGACACCCCCCAGGAGGAGGCAGGGGGGAGGGGCGCGAACGAGAGCACAGGCCGAGCGAGAGAGGCCGAGCTGGGGGAGCACACGTTGCTGAAGACTGCGCTGTACAGTCGGGGCGTTGACCCAAGGAACCCTAAATGAGGAACGGGGCCCCTCTTCTCCCATAAATTGAGCTTCGATTTCCCATGGAAAACCTCCGGAAAACAGAAGGCAAACTGCAGAACAATCAAGGAACACCGAGCCCCTCCCCAACGAAAAGGGCTCCTCCTTCAGGGCCCCGACGGTAGACGGGTTTTGCCACAGGTGGCCCTGGCCCGCTCTGCGTCGAGCTGATCGGTCCTGGGGCCCTCTGGACCTTTGTGGGCCCCGGAAACGGCAGGGCCGTTTTCACCGTTTCCCAAAAAATGTCCCTTGGAAAAAAAGAAACGGCCAAAAAACGGCGACCGGAAACGGCAAAAAAACAGCTCCAGGATTGGAACCGGAGCCGGAACCGGTCAAACAACGGCGACGGAACCGGTAAAAGAACGGCGTCGGAACCGGCAAAAAAAAACAAAAACGGAACCGGTAACAAAACGGCCCTGTCTTTACCAGGGCCCACTAAGCTCTGGACTTCATGAGATGCGCTCTGCAGGTCGCGGGGGCCTCCCTGGAGGCCGTGGAGGCACCTTGGGCCAAGACCGCCGTTGGCAACACCAGATCCAAGGATTGCGCCAGGGCGGTCACGTCAGCAAGCTGGGCGACGTGGGCTGGTGAGACCGCGGCGGGTTTGTAGCCAACGTGTTGCCCACTTGACGGGGTCAACTGGTAAACGCCATAGTTCTGACAGGCCGCCATAGTCCGTGTTGATATTTCGCTGGGCCTCCCTGGCGTTGTTGCGAATCAAGAGTAGCACTGCTAGCCCCCTGGTTTCAACAGCTATGATAAATTTAGGAGCTGCTCAATATTTATTGAGCTCTACGCCGCGCGCCCCCTTTGAGTGCATCAAGCAGGAAATGACGACTGCAACGCAAGGAAGTGCAGCCGCCCGGAATGAGACGTAGCCAGATTCGTTCGACCTGTCCCCCATCTTTGGCATGAGCGGGACCTCCTCCCCATCGAGGGCGAGGGTCGAGCGCACACGCTGGAGGACAGCTCTCTGCGAGGCGACTTGACAAGATGTTAGAAACAAACACCAGATTTCTCGGATTGGGCGAACCTTGAAGGCAGGCCACGGGTGCACAACGTGACCCGCCAGGCGCAGCGTGTCGCGAGCAAGCTGGAGAAGCCGATCCCCCCCCCCAAAAAAAAACGATCGACACTGGAAATATGAAACGATGTGGCCGACTTCGTCGCGACATCCACGCGGTGATTGCCCTGCCTGCGCCGACGCTCCGCAGCGTCGGCCCTGGAATCGCCCAGATCATCGGGCGCAGAAGCTTTAATGCGCGCCTCGGGAAGTGCTTCTCCGTGGCCGCACAACTGAAGGACAGCGAGCGGATAAGCTCTCTTGCGCGAAAGCCGCTGACTTTTGGGGCGGCACAATTGTTTCGCGACGTGGCCTCAAGCGGACAAAATTTGAAGAGCAGCGGAAGGGGGCACTGAAGTCGAAGTGGCGCAGCTGAACTCAAACGGCTGAGAGGTCTAAAGGTACGGGTCGAAGGTGGGCGCACAAAACTGGGCAACCACGCCATCGACGTCGCTAAATTGGCCGATGCTACAGGCGGCCCGAAATAACTCCGCGACAGGATGCCAGGCGCAACCACCGTCAACGAGAACGGAAATCCATGGCTCAGTGCCAGGAACAGGCCCCACAGGGTGCCACATGTTTACGCGGTGCCACCCATGGAGATGACCATCATCCAACCCGGTTGCGGGCCTAGGACAAGGGTTGGCAATGACGGGGGAAAGCCCCTGAGACGAAAACGAACAGCTCGCTGCTGTCCTCCGACCCCTCAACTTGCAGCGCCGCCGCAACCGCGTCGGGGCCGGCGACCTCCGAGCGAAGGGCGCCAACGAGCTGATGGGTGCATCCCTGGGGCCCGTGGAAGGCAGCGTCGATCGCTGCGTGGGAAGTGCGCAAGCCGTCAACAAGAATACCTCATTACATTGAGCACCGAGTCGCGTGGACACAAGCTTCTGCGGCGGCAGCCCTGGCGTGAGCACCTTGCAGCGCCGCGCATTTCTCGCCGTGAATTGGTGCGCGAACTATGTCGCAACGGAGCCTAGGGAGGGTGCTCTGGCCCTCCCAAAAGACCCTCGAACACATCCTGACATAACCATCCCTGGCCAGAAATTTCACCAACGCAGGCGAAACAAATCCGAGCGGGATCGCAGAACACACGTTCATCTCTCAACGTCATGAAGACACCCATGACGTAAACCAAGCCTAACTCATCTCAGCCAGAATGCCGGCACTGACGTCGCGCCAGTCATATCGAAAGCTCACTGGAAAGCTCCCATCTGCCTCAACATGACAATCTCCTTGGACCAGCGCGCCATCGGGGCAGTCGCAACGCGCCGACAAATCTCAAAGTCCAGAACAGTCCGAGCTGCAAGGCCGGTCGCACGACCAAGAATCTCAATCGCCGGGGCCGGCGACTTCAGAAACGCGCGATGCGCCCGCAGGAAGCCCCGCCGAGACAACGCGAAAGACCAGCTTGTGAGAAAGAACTTTGATTTGTCGTTTGAACCCTTCTGGGGCCCGGGGCCCGTGCACGATGTGGCCGGTCGGGCGCAAAGCTCGGCGGCGCGACGACCGAGCCGACCAGCGCGGCCAGCGGCGAAGTCCACGTTAAAATTGTCAGACCTGGTAGAAAAACTGCCCCCGCGCTCGCCGAGCTGCCCGGCCGCGGCAACTGCCGCGGCCGCGATGGAGGCAGCGGCTGCAGCCGAAGGTCGACTCCACCACCTCATGCCGCGCTTGCACCCCCTAACCAATGCGCGTAATCACGCCGGCCGAAGACTCCGTCACCGACAATCCTCGGTCATCAACGTGGATGTCGAAGCCAAAGTCCTCAAACGAGGGGGGATCGAGCCCTGCCCTTCCTGACAGAAGCTCCGATGGAAGTCGCGGCCATCGAGCGGCCAGCGACGGTCCCGTTCCGACAATGCAAAGGCTTTTCAGCCATCCCCCAATGCGCATGAATCTCTGGCACTTACAAGCATGCAGGAAAAAAAGGCAAGCTATGCCGAGCGGGGACCCACGCCTCTTGCATCTCGCCTCAAGCTCAGACACGGAGATGCCCCCTAGAACTTGACCCGGTCGAACAGACGCGGCGCGCGACCCAGACTCGCCGGCGCACCCGCGCTCAGACCGAACGGCCCGTCGCCGTGGCGCATCGGCCGCTCCTCGAAACTGACCGGCGGCCCGATGCCCGATGGGTTTCTTTGGTTCCTCGCCAAAGACACAGGGCCGTCCCCAACGGCCCCAGACCATGAGCCAGAAACCGGAAACCTGAATCGGCATGTCGCCCCCAGCGGCAGCGCGAGCAAAGCCGCCTAAATCTGACGCGGGAGACATCCAACATCTCCCATGAGCGAACAAGTCTTGGTTGAGCAATCCAAGGCAGTGCCGGGGAGCAAAGACAAGTGCCTGCACAGGGGGCCATCGGCCCACGGAACCGACTCCTTGCTGGGCGATTGATCAAGTCAGCCGACGGGCGCGAGACCCTGCAGCTTGTAACGAGGACAAGGAATCACTGACATTGGAAGCTTCGCGCGAGAGGGTTGCGGGGGTGGTTCGCATGGGGCAAGGCCCTTAATGATTCGATGCGCTCTCTTCGCTCCGTTGTCCACTCCGACCTGCGGCCGCGCCTTCCAGTCGGACCGACTCTTGGCCGCAGACGCGAGGTGGGCGGTCCTGACGGCATCGAAGGCCTGAGCGAGAGATTCGCCGCCAACCTCCACGCCTCCCGCGCAGGGCACTGCGCGGGGGGGGGCCCGAACCGCGCGCTCGAAAAAGAGCCTTCGCCCCTCGGCGAGCAGCGGCGCCAGCGGGTGGCGCCATCCGCAGCGAGACAATCCCGGCCGCAATCGAGGGCCTGGCCTTGCGACCCACGCCGCGAGTAAGCGCGCGCAGTTGCCGCCCAAGTCCCTGCCCATCATCGACGGCCAGTCGAGCTGGAGGCCGATGCCCCTGGCCTGAACTGGGTCAGCTGTTCGCTGAGAATGGGGGCGGGGTCTCCTTCGGCGGCGCCGGCCGAGAGAAGGCGCGACGGCCCAGCGAGGCCCCTGGCGCCCCAGTAGTCCGAATCACTCACGCGCCCCAAGGTACTGCTAGCGAAAGCATGGGCGCCCCCCCAATTCTGTCATGGGGCGGGGCCCAGGCGCGGGGGGGGAGCGGGAATCGGCAAGGGGCGCACAAGGAGAAGGCGCGCAAGGCCGCGAACAGCTTGCGGGAAACGAGATCCAGTGGGCGGCAGGGCAAGTGATCGGCATCCATTGGAACGCATAAACTCAATGCCCCTGCCAAGCCGGCACGAGGAAACAATGCAGTGAAAGGTGGCGGGCGGCCCCGCCGGAGGATGAGCGCGCGCGCTCGGATTCGCGAGGAGCACTTTGGTTCCGAAACAGACAGCGGAGCTTCGAGGTCCGACGGCTCGAAGTTCGCGGAGCTTCGAGGTCCGCGGAGCTTCGAGATCCGCGCCAACCTCCGACAGGTTGGGGGCGCTCAGTGGGCTGCTCACCCACGCGCTCGCGCATGACCAAGTTGACATCGCTCAGGCCTTCGGAATGGACGAGATGAGCCGACGCAGCAAAAGGCGAATGCACCGACGGCAAGTGAACCTCGCGCGCGAGGCATCTACCATCGATAGAAAGGCCTCCCATCGACCTGGCAGCAGCCG